CACACACACACACACACACACACACACACACACACACACACACACACACACACACACACACACAAAAAGCCAGCCTGTGCAGGTGCATGGAGGGAAAACGACTACATCTTGTCCTCTCTTTAAAACTCCAGCAGCTTGCCTCCCTACATTTTAAATTAACTTTCATTTCTTAACATGTCTGCTTCAGAAATTCCAAAACATATTTTTATGCTGTTAAATGTTCCAAACAAAGCTCTCTCTGCGTCAAACAAAATCTAAACCTCAGCAGTTTATTCACATGCTTTGAAATGGTCACTTTGCAGACTGTAATTAGCCAGAGTCGGGCTCAGTGTGGAACCTGAGCGATCACATGAAGCTGTCCAACAGAACAGGCTGCTAATTCTGTAACTGCATTAATGGTGAAAGTAGCTCCGCTGTACATGCTCGAATTCCGACAGTTAAGTCTTTTGGCTTAAACACAAATGCACTCTTGTTCTTGAGAAAGCAACGGTTATGACATGCCCTGGACATTTTTGTCAGTTATTAGGTTTATGGGATCATTTGTACTCGTGCTAATTGGGCCTCCAGTTGGAATGGCTGCTTCCACCTGCTCCTGTCTTGGCAGGAGTTCCTGAGATTCACAAATGAAGCAACAGCAGCCAGGAATGCGTTTTGTATGTGCGTAGTAGCCTTTGTTATCTGTGCAAATAATGCAGTTGTTAACTACTTCATTCTTCTCAGGTTTGTCCCAAAATAAACCTGAAAATATAATTTCCTAAAATCCAGCTGATGTCTTCAAGAAAGACATTTCAGTCACTGAGTGTTAATAATATCAGAGATAAAATCCTGCCCTGTTGTGTATTCCCAATCAATTTGTCTGTTTAATATAAAAAAAAGTCTACACGTAGGTCATTGCAACATGTGCTTTTTTAAGACCTTTTACTTTTTTTTTTTTTTTGCTAATTTGTAAAAAGAGCTGGAAAAAAAAAAGATGAACTCAGGTTATTTGAAAAAGCAAAGATCTCAGCTGTTAGATCACACCTCAGATTTTTAATCTATATTCATTCCTGACATGGCCAGGGGGCATAGAGCCGAGCCACAGCCGTTTTCAGTGCATAGTTAACAGGTTGTAGGTGGGGGAAGCCACTGGAATGGGTCCGATGAGCAGATGGCTTGGCTGGGCTAAGGGGATTCAGGGGGCAGGCTCTATTGTTCCTCAGGCAGCACAAAGTCCTCCCAGGATGACTGCAGCTCACAATGCACCCTAAATTCTCCACAGTCCAAAAGGCGCAGCAGCATTAGTACATTAAAACCAAAGCGGGGCTGATTTAAAGAAAATAAATGCCACTGAGCAGTAAAATATTGCTGGTTCAAACATGCCCTGAGGGACTGCTAAGCCCTTTAACCTCGAAAAGATCATCAGCCCCCTCCTCACTCATGTAATAGGGTGTTTTCATGGCATTAAGCTGTCATTAGGAAAATGGACCTTGTTAATTTTATCAAACAGCCAGACTCTCTTGGGGATTTCTCTCAATTCAGATGATTACCGATTCCGATAAAGATTAAATATCCTCACGACTTCACTGTAACAACAGAGGACATTTAATATTCAGTCCGATTTACAGTCATTTCATCTCATCCATTTTTTTTTTTTTACCTCAGGGATTTTGAAACAAGCCGCACATTTTCTTCAGTAGTTTACCAGGTTAAATGGCCTCCATGCACAGAGTTCCAGTATGCTAATGTGCTGTTGTTTATTATATTTGGGTCACAGTGTTTCCTGAATGCATACCAACAAGTATCATAACAAATAACCCCGTTTCAGACTAGACTGGCAATCATCAAAATCTGTAGCACCGCTGTTGTATTGCTTTTGTTATTGTACCAGTGAGACCTTTTTCATTTGCAGTTGCTTTCAGAGTGTATATAATGAATTTAGCAAAGAAGTTACTTTATTTTGTAATTGAGATATATTTGTTCACTGTTGCTAAAGTGGTAAGTGTCTTGGTTTGTTCCAAAAAATCATCGTCAAAGTCACGTAGTTAGCTTCAACTGGATGACTGATGCATCAAAATGTTCTAATATTAAACCACAACTCATCATACACACCTTTAGTTGCCACCCTGTCTTCATAACTTCACAACATCTATTTCTAACTATAGTTTAGCCCTAACAACAGGTGACTTACCAGCACTAAAGGTTTTTATACTTTAAGGGCTCTTAAAACTGCACTAAGCTATTTTCAATGTAAAAAATAATGTGCAAACATAAAATACATGGTGATATTATGACATATGAGATGTTTTCCTGCCATCAAGTGTGCAAAGACACTAAATGTCACTTGTTTTGTTTTGGCTCTTTCTAGGTATCCTTGCGCAGACAAGAAATCGCAGACCGCCTCAACGCCTGGACCATCTTCAATGACAAGAACAGGGAGTTCTGTGATTGGCTGACTCAGATGGAGAACAAGGTGTGCCACGTTGGAGATCTGAGCATCGAGGAAATGGTGGAGAAACTGAAGAAGGTATGAGGATGTGGGGTTATAATATCTCTCTAATAACATACAGGGGCTTTCATAGGTCTCCATGTGGCAGGTTAGACTCACATTAGGACTCCATGTAATAATGTTTCATCCCAGAGCACCTTATCAGAAGATGGCTTTTGAGTATTTTGGTACAGCTGTCTGCACAACATGTAACGACTGAACAGTAGTTAGTATGTCATTACTCTCAAAATATATTTTGTTAAAATAGGAATACCCAAACATCAAATACCACTTTAAATGTAAATTTACTTTCTAGGTATAATATATTAGGTTTCCCCCGTATGCACACTGTAACACCTACATGCTGGACATTACTTACACCCTGTCCCTAAAAACAAGACAGTGTGTTTGGTAAATTACAACAGAGGGAATTTACAACACTCACAGACATATGATTAAAATCCATACATAAGCAACATGTTTTATGCTGTTTATAACAGATGGTGGCCTGGAATGGAATAGCTGCATGCCTTTTGTTCAAACACAACAGTTGTCCTTTCAATGACTGAAAGCCTTTTGTACCTTCTTTTCTCGTCATGAAACATGTTTATTTGGTTAGCAAGATAATAATGTGTTTCAGTGTTTCATGATCATTGTTTTGGCCTGTTAGATGAGATGAGCAAACTAGTGACATTTGACACAAGCTTTTAATTATCAGGATGGATAAAGAAAGAGGGCACATCCTGGAAATAAGCAACTGCCTCAGGGTATGGAGACAGGTGTTTGCTAAGTTGAATGAATGGGACACTGACAGAAATCCTTAGCTGCCTTTATTGTACCTGAACTGACATACACATGTTACTTCTCATACTTGTGATGTCTTTGCGTATAAATTATTACAGATTGACCAAATGGGGGTAACAGAGGTGTGAACATGCAGCAAATTGGCCCCTAATGTTCACTGCTCGAGGTGACGTTTATAACTGGTGCTTATAAAGCAGCATAATCTTTTGTCATGTTTCCACAGGACTGCATGGAAGAGATCAACCTGTTCAGCGAGAACAAGAGCCACCTGAAGCAGCTGGGAGAGCAGCTGCTGTTAGCCAGTGATGAGGCCAAGCAGAGCCAGGTCCACGGCTCACTGCAGGAGGTCAACCAGCGCTGGCACAACCTCTTCCACCACATCGAAGCCAGGTGAGAGCAGCTACAGCTGTCGTGGAAGCGGCACAGAACAATATAATAACCCACTAACATGTAAGAGTGTGTATTTGTATCAATTAAGCACTTTCCAAAAGACACAAAACAAAGCAAACAATGTTGGAAATTACTGGATGTGTATAACTAGTGTGTTTATGCCATTCAGTAAGCACTTTACAAAGACGAACAGTGATTTGTCAGGTGCAGTAAAGATGGTTAGATTCAAAGTAAAGGTGTGTAAAAAAGTGTGTATGTGAGTGTGTGTCTGAGACGTTTTAGACTGGCTGAGTACCACACACTAAATTGAAATCATTATCCCACAGCATGAGAGGTGTTTCACAGCAGACTCCTCAGTAAAAGGCATAATTAAGCACTGACAGGCTTTAACTGGATGCTTGTAATTAAACAATAGCTACTGTGCTTGTCCATCCACCTGCTGTTGTGTTCGCTCTGCTCTGCAGCTGTCAGGAATACACGACCTCTAATGTACAGACTGTAGAGGTTAAGCTCCTGTCATGGTAAACTGGTTACTCCCTCAGACAGATGGGGCCGTCCTGTTGAGGAGCAGGAGATACAGACAACACCCCTAACCCTGCACCCCCAACCTGCCCCCAACCTGCCCCCCACCACCATGAAAAAAAGCTGTGCTTAAGTCTCAGACAGTACCATATGTCCCTATGACCACGCTGGTGACCCCACCCTTTGTAGTCTGTCAGTGGGATGACTCGGTGAAGGAGGGTGGAACAGGGTGGGGGGGGTATGTCGGTATGTATTAATCGCTGATTCTCAAAGTGACGCCCTCACAAAGACTTCATCAGCAGATTTTAGTAGGCTTGACTGCATGTAAGGCAGGATGAGATCCTTGAATTCTTGATGAAGTGGTGGTCCTCAGTCGCCCTGGGCTGTGGCTAATTACTGGAATCAGCTGCCTGCTTATGCTTAGTTGATGGTGGCAGTATCATTCAACTGTGTGGTGAATTTGCAGCCTTTAAATCCAAAACAGTGTACTATAGTTAGCTAATGAGCTTATCTGATCAAAGGGGCTGGGGCTCTGTTACTATGAGACCCTTTTTACAGTACACAAAGTTAATATCAAAATAGTGATTAGTGGAGCTTAGAATTGAGGTGCATGCACACCAGTTATAGTGAAGTCTTTACGTTTACCAGGTAGGAACAGTTAAATTGCTCTATAGTTTATATCGCACAGTGACCCAAAGACGTGTTTTCTGTAATGTGGGCGAAAATAGTGTAATCCAAGGGTAAATATGTTTTGTTTTTTTTAAAAGATAAAATACATGTACAGTAAAGAGCTGCATAATTCCAGTGAGAAGAGTAAATGTCAGTAGTCGTAACTCGGAGCCCTCCTGTGGTCAGCTGCACTTTGTTATGTTCATCCTCCAACCGTATATCCTCTCTTATCCTCCAGCTCTTTTCTGCTCCGTTTTCTCCATCTATTCTCCTCTTGTCCTTTTCCTGAGCAGGCACCCCTGACCGGGTTTTGTGCCTTTGTTTGGCCTCCGCATGAAGCTGCTGGCCTTTGTTGGCCTGTCAGAGGTGGAGAGGGAGTGAAAGGGACAGAGAGACTAGTTAGTTGACTGGGATGGTTGTAGCTGCAGAGCAGAAGAGTATTTTCTGGGCATAATTCATACTGCCTGTATTATGTCTTGATTACATGGCTATAAACAAAAAGAGACATTAACTACACATACAGACCTTCACTGACGACATGCTGTACTTTATGTTTTTGACTAAGGCCTGAAAACTTTTTTTTTTCCCTCTCTACTGGTGTGAAACACTTGAATTATGGCACAAATACCAGCAACAGACATTTAGTTTCTGTCTCCTTATTTTGTGTTTCTCTTTTTCATACTGTTTTTTTTATCTTCCTTTTCTTTTCTTTCTGTTTTTTCTTGTTTTCAATCTGTTTGTTTCTTTCTTTTGGCTTTGCTTTTTGTCTTCTTTCTGTATCCTCATCTGTCTCTATCTTTGTCTTTCTCTTTTCTTCACGTGTTTTCTGCACTTTACTTCACCTCTCTCTGACTGCATTTTTGTTTTGAGGTTCTCTATTCTTTCTCTACATTTGAGTTTTTTCTTAATCTTTCTATATTTTTGTCTTTCATATTTCATTTTTCTAGAAAATATCAGATGACTCTGACAACGTGATTAATACCAATTTGGATTTTTGCCAGTTTTGTTTAGGCTGTACTGTGTTACGGGCACATTTTGGTTGGTACTTGTTGGTAGGGTGATGTCCTAATCCCAAGTCGGGATATTGTTTGAAATTTCAGTATATTGTTGATGCAAAACCTGAGTTCTACTTTGTAGAATAACAGTATGTTTCTAAAAATCTTTTTAGCTTGACTAACATAACTGACACATCTGCATTTTTAGTCGTAGTAGCCAAAATTCTTAAATGTCTAAACACAAGAAGCCACCAACAATGTTGATTAAATAAAGTGTGAAGTCTAAAATTGGATGCCCTGCATTCACTCTGTTTATGTAAGTAAAAATGAGAATGGATGAACTGCAGCTTTTGGTGTCAGTTTTCACTACCCAGGATACATTTCAGCAGAGAAACACCCTAAGTTCTTACAACTCTCCACTGAAATCCAGATTGTCCTCTTGAAGAAGTGAGAAAGTATCCAAAATGTCTGTGAAGATCTAAAACACAAAGCGGATCTCATGAGTACAGATCTATAGCGACTCTCTCCTTCACACGCTCACTTATCTATAGTTGGCCGAATGTCCGGCATCTGTTGGGAGCCTTTCATGCATTCTTCGGCCAGGCACTTACACCCGCAGCTGTTTTTAGTGCTTATTATTTTGGTGGAGAGCGTCTCCCTCTCAGCCCTGACAGGCTCTGCTGGACCTCGACAGGAGAGGAAGGATCAAATGGGGAAATTAACTCAAACTCCCAAATGGGGCACACTTCAGGCTTTTAAGCCTCAGAAAAGAGCTTTTATTGTCCCATGCGTTGCTATGACACCAGTCAGTGTGGCGCAGTGTGTGTGTGTGTGTGTGTGTGTGTGTGTGTGTGTGTGTGTTGAGGAGGGGGTCAGTTGCCATGGTGACTTTGGAAGATCTGGTAAAGGATACCTGAGAGGGTTGTAGGTTAGTGGACAGCAAAACTTCTTTCTTTCTTTCGTTCTTTCTTTCTTTCTTTCTTTCTTTCTTTCTTTCTTTCTTTCTTTCTTTCTTTCTTTCTTTCCTTCTTTCTTTCTTTCTTTCTTTCTTTCTTTCTTTCTTTCTTTCTTTCTTTCTTTCTTTCTTTCTTTCTTTCTTTCTTTCTNTTCTTTCTTTCTTTCTTTCTTTCTTTCTTTCTTTCTTTCTTTCTTTCTTTCTTTCTTTCTTTCTTTCTTTCTTTCTGTTGTTCTTCTTCTCATTTCTTTCTGTTGTTCTCCTCGTTTCTTTCTATCCATTACAGCTCTTTAGGTTTCTCTTTTTTCTTTTTAATTTTTTTTTCAGTTCATTTCATCTTATTTTATTTTTCATTTTCTCTTAATAGTCTTTAAAAATCATCAACATCAGAAAGGATCAGTGGTTCCCTGCCTGATGCACTGGACCTCCAAAGAGTCACAACATGAACCTACATCCCCAAAGATATGCATTTTATCTTCAGGCCAGTCATCAGTCGCCCCTTAGCTGATTTGTGTACAAACCATAGAGATACTCATTGGGGGACTGTGGGTCAGCAGTTGCATTGCTTTAGTTTATAGGGTTACAGGCAACAAAGGCTGGGAATTCCTCAGTTTGATCTCGATTAATTCCCACTATTAATAAGTTCAAATGCATCTAAAAGTCCCGATTTCTTTATATAATTGTGAATTTTGGATGATACAGTTCATACAACATTGTACGTGCTTGTATGTTTTTAGGGTGAAGAAGCTGACGGAGACTCTGGTGACAGTGCAGCAGCTGGATAAGAACATGAGCAATCTGCGCTCGTGGCTTTCTCGCATTGAGGCCGAGCTGTCCAGGCCTATCACCTACAGCGTCTGCCATGAACAGGAGATCCAGAGGAGACTGGCTGAGCAGCAGGTAAACACACACAGCTTCACATCCATTACCAACAGTAGACTCTTCACTGTTGTACTGTTTTATATCACGTGATCATTGTCTCTGTCACTCTTCTATTTCTGACTTTTCTTTTCAGCTGTTTCTTGTTTTAGTTATTTGTACTTTGTATTTCTGGTTCTCTGTCACTCCCTCTTAGTCTTTGTCACTGATTATCATTAATAATTCACATCTGTCTTTTGTGCAATATTGGGAGTGGTGGTCTCATGCTGTGCCTCACTGTCCTCACTCTGTGGACATATGTGTAATACATGAGGTATACACGGTATGGACTGATGTACATGGCTGTCTCTATGTCTGTTCAGGAGCTGCAGAGAGACATTGAACAGCACACTGAGGGCGTAGCATCGGTGCTCAGTCTGTGCGACGTTTTGCTGCGGGACGAAGATGCTGCTGGTGGCACTGAGGCGGAGAGCGACTCCCTGCAGGAAACCAGCCGCAGCCTGGACCAGCGCTGGAGGACCATCTGTGCTATGGCTCTGGACAGGAGGCTCAGGTAGAAACTACAACGCATTCATTCATGTGCTCCGCCCACATTAAGCCAGTCAGATTAGTGCACACCACATCTTAACTTCTGGGCTCATTATCTGCAATAGTAACTTCATCTACTCTATATTTTATGATATATATGAAGAACAAATTTAGTCCATGGTGACAAAAGGGTAGTCAAAAAAATAACAGCTCAATCACAAAGTTCACTTAGTACCTGTTTGAGAGCTCTCAGTTTTATCTCAGGCTCTCCCTCAAGCACATAGAACTTGTTCAGTTGTCGAGAACCTATTTTTTGTTTGTTTTTTTTACACATAATGTCATAACTTCAGATGCCATAAAAGTGCTTCATACAAAGCATACATCAGTCTCACAGAAACCCTCCACAGTGAGCGGCGTAACCGACATGTCTGCTTGCAGGATCGAGGAAACGTGGACACTCTGGTGTAAGTTCCTCAACGACTACTCCTGCTTCGAGGATTGGCTCAAGATGGCTGAGAGAACTGCTGCTAACCCAAACTCTGCTGATGTCCTTTTTACTGTTGCCAAGGAGGAGCTCAAGAAGTTTGAGGTCAGTTGTGAGGTCGGCAGAGGCTTGAAGTAGCTTTGTTTTTTGTTTGATCGGGTTTTTTTGCTCGTTGGTTAGATATTGTCGTTGTTCTGTAAGAAATTTTAAATGACGGAGTTAATGAATTTTAAATTGTGAACTTGACAGACTTAAAGGTGTTTGCCTTTTTACTATTACACAACCAAGACTAACCCTGCAGGAAACCAGACAAAGAGACAGCCATGCACATCAGTCCACACCATGTATACCTCATGCAAGACTGTCTGGAACAGGAGAGGGATCACCACAGAGACAAAGATCAAAGTGTACCAGGCTGTTGTTCTCACTGTGCTGCTCTACGGCTGTGAGACTTGGACAGTGTACCAGTGTCCTGCCAGTAAGCTGAACCACTTCCACACCACATGCCTCAGAAAACTTCTCGGCATAAAGTGGCAAGACAGGATCCCAGACACTGAGTTCCTAACATGTGCCGACATGCCAAGTGTCCACACCATCTTGATGCAGTCTCAGCTTCGCTGGGCAGGTCACATAGCTCGCATGTCAGACGATCGACTCCCAAAGAGACTGCTGTTTGGCGAGCTACAACAAGGAAAACGCTTCCAAGGCGGCCAGACAGAGGAATGTGGCGATCAGCTGCTCACAAGGGCGCCAAAGCATGCCAGACCAACAGGATCTCTGTAGCTTAAGACTGGAGGCAGGCCCGGAAGAGCAGGGCCAACAACTCTGTAGCAGCCGCTACTATTCCCTGTCCACACTGCCAGAGACTCTTCCGTGCGCATTTTGGCCTCACCAGCCATCTGCACACCCAGAGAACAAGACTACCACCACCCCAGGATGACTAGATGGTCCTCGTTGCATCGACGGACGAACAACACACAACCAAAACTATTGAAAAAGCCCACTCAAAGTGTCAAAACCCTGTTAAAGTCTCACTCAACAGTTGTTTATTTGACATTAGGCCTAAAACTAAGCTCAGTTGATCTGACAATCAGTCAATAATTTGGTCTGCGTAACAGTGCCCATTGCAACTTTTTAGAGTCCAAGTCGACATATTTAAATTAGCAAATAAACTCTTTATCCCTTTAAATGATAAATCCATTTTCTAAATTGGTACAGGATAAATTTTGCTCGGTCAAGTATTTGTTCAATCAACTAGTCGTTTAAGCTCTGCTTCACACAGAGAGGGAAGATACCAAATCACACTCAGTCACATACTGAGTTATGTATTCCTCCTCTCTCTTCCTTAGGGTTTCCAAAGGCAGGTGCATGAGCGGCTGACCCAGCTCGAACTGGTGAACAACCAGTACCGCCGCCTGGCCAGGGAGAACCGCACAGACAGAGCCAGCCAGCTCAAAGCCATGGTCCATGAAGGCAACCGGCGCTGGGACACTCTGCACCGGAGAGTGGCTGCTGTCCTCCGCAGGCTCAAGGTATAGTTCAGGATGCACAGTGCAAGGCAGTGGTAATGCAGTTTAAAACTCCGAAGATGAATAATGTATTCATAATAATCAGCTAAGAGGATATGAAGTTATCAGTTCAAATGTGATATGAATTCAACAGGCATATGGATGCAACATGCCCCTCTCCATCCCAAGCCCCTCCCACCAGTACACAGCCATTTACATGTGCTTAAAATGCACTAAAATAGACATTATTGGCTCTTGCAAACCAATTAGCCATCACATCCTACTCTCACTCTGTTTATACTGTCTCACCTGATTTGGTCTAAAAATAACTTTTTGCTAAAGTTTTCTGTCACAGATTTTATTTGTAAAGTCTCAACAAAAGAGCCAAAGAAAGTTAAAAGTCTTGTTTCTTCCTGGACCACTTGGATTACAATATGCTTAAAGGTTAAGATGGAATATTTGCCCACTGATATAAATAATTTGGGCAAAATTCTATCTTTTGGTATTGAACCAATGGAGCTTGAACCCCATGCTATTTCTGGGTTGTTGTTTTTTCTGGGGGTTTTTTCAGTTTTTTTTTTTTTTTTCCCACTCCTGTCACATTTGAGCTTACTGTGGCTCATTTTTCTCTGTGGAAACAGCACAAAAATGGAAACATATCTGGAATCAGTATGGACAGGTCACCAGTCCATCATAGGGCTACACTTAGACAACCAAGCACACTCACATTCACACCTACAGACAATTTAGAATCACTGATTAACCTCAACATGCTTTTGGACTGTGGGAGGAAGCCAGAGAACCCAGCGACTCTTGGTCACAGCTGAGTCACCCATGGCTTTTCAGTTGTTCTGAGGAGTGCAGAAATAAAAAGGATGTGATTAGAGCAGATGGTTCATTTTCGGCTCATTGTTAAACGAGACGCGTAAAAAGAAGAAAATGACTTCCCTTCCTTAATGTTGCAGTCCAAACATGAATGAAGAAAAGTATTCTACAGCAGTTCAAAAATGTCACTAAAGAGCATAATTCAATTAGTTCTTTCCTCTCTTTGATTTGTCCTGTTGTCATTTGTCTTGCAGTATTTTACCAGCCAGAGGGAGGAATTTGAAGGCACCAGGGAAAGCATGCTGGTTTGGCTGACTGAGCTGGACCTGCAGCTCACCAACGTCGAACACTTTTCAGAAAGTGACGTCCATCACAAGATACAGCAGCTCAATGTGAGGCTCAGCTCGTTCACACGCTTGTATTACAGAGACCATAGAAAATGTCCTTTTTTTCCCAAATGGAAACATTTCTTCTACCCATTAGAGGAACTGCACGTTAAAACATTTAAGCAGCTAGTTTCCATTTTCAACTATGGGCTTTGTTTAATGAAGGTTTCTCTCCCACTTCATTTACTGGAGCCTTTTACACATACTATTAGCAGTAATGTTTTGAGGTTTCTGGCTCAACCTCTTCTCACCCAACCATCCAACTCTGTCCCTGCAGAGTTTCCAGAAGGAGATCACCCTGAACACTGAGCGCATTGACGGACTGATAGTGTTTGGAGAGGGTCTGATCCAGAAGAGTTCACCGCAGGACGCAGCGCTGATAGAGGATGAGCTGGAGGAGCTGCACTCCTACTGCCAGGAGGTTTTCAGCAGACTGGTCCGCTTCCACCAGCGTCTCAGCCATCCTCCTGTGAGCACACACACATTCTTCAGTGTCCAACCTTATTTATGCACATAACAATGTATCCAACAAATTTAAAATAAGCAAATAGCTCTTTTGCTATTAATTAAAGCCCCTTTATATAGCACAATTGTGATGTTATACATAAATGGAGGTTTTCCACTTCCAACAAATTTCAGGTTTGCTTTTTATCAAATGATTCGTAGGTTTTGGCACCACTGCTTACAGACATGCTTATTGTTGCATTGACACTTAATGTGATCCTACCTTTAATTTCACCTTTTGGAAAAACTTTAACATTCTGAAACCAGATAAGCTCCTCAAAGTGAAATACCCCCACACATTCATCACTTTAAATGAGAAACTGAACTGAGAGTTTAGGGAAAGGGGCTTTACAGTCCCATTTACACTGGTTGATTAGAAGGGAAATCAGAGTTACAAACAACGCCATGAACAAAAAAATATGCTAAAATAGAGCACAAAAAACCCAAACAAATAAAGTTGTAAAATAAGAAAAAAAGAAAGTTAAATCAAAAAGGCCATTATGTTTTAGGAAAACGCTTTGATTGTAGTAATTTAACCGTTTGAATGACAAACAGTTCCTGAATGTTTTCTGCTCCGATCATGTTTTTACTCACTGTGGACTCACAGACATATAAAATATTCACAGCTGGCTGAGTACCTGCTATTTCTGTGTCTTGGCAGATCAAAGAAGAACCAGAGCTCTCTGCTACCACCTTTTCCCTGGAGTCCAGCTTGGAGCTGATTGGCCGGCCGTGGCTGGGGAGGAACCTCGGCAGCCTCCCGGCCACGCCCACCCACCTGCTGACCTCACCCCTGGAGCGTTCAGGGAGGGAGACACCGGTGAGTGTGGACTCCCTGCCTTTGGAGTGGGACCACACCGGAGACGTGGGAGGGTCATCATCACATGAGGACGATGAGGAGGAGGAGGAGGAGGAAGACGATGAAGAGGGAATCTATTACAGTGCACTGTCAGGTGTGTTTATAGTGTCTGATATTACTGGTGACTCAGCAGGAAGTATTCACACACTGCTTTATGTTTCCTCAGTTGTTATTGCTGTAATGGCTTTATTTTTAAAGGATCGCAAAACCAGAGACCCACAAATAGATGCATCAGAGACAAAAAGATACAATAAATCACTCTCCAGTACCTGGAGACTGGAAACTCCTAAACTACAGATAAGGACGCTTTCACACCGGTCGTTCAGTCGATCCAGTCTAAAGCTTGCAATGACTTTTTGAAAACCAAGAGGTGCAAAACATGACCGGTCGATAACTCATTCATTGACAATCAACAATTGGGACACCGGTCATCCATAGACTGGTCCATGCAGTCATTCTGCATAATCACACAGGGAGCAGAGTCAAACTCCAGAGACTGACAGCAGCTTGTTCAGTACTTTAACAAACTCATGGAGAAATCATTTATATCAGCTTTAAATATATAGATTGCACAATTACAACTATAAATAGTGGTGAAAACATCCATCATATTTTAGCATAATAGTTCAACTACTTAGTTAACTCATTGATTATTAATAGTAAACTCATTTCTCTCTTCTTTTTAAATTATTACTGCTAACATACACAGAGTTGAAGAGAAGCTAAACAGACTCCTGTTTTAGTTTCTTCTCTTTCTGAGTAATGAGGGAAAATCTCAGCACTCATGTCCTGACATGTTTCTATACCATGGTTAGCAAATGATGCACAATTTAAACTGCTTTCTTGACAGCTCATGATGAGTAATTTAGCAAATTAATTTACATTAAAATCACATGTCCTAAAAAGGGACCGTACCAAACAGGAACAAACAAACAAACCACACACTGTATGTAAAGACAGACAGACCCTCTGTGGCGTCACTCATAAGTTTTCTGAAGCGCAGTTTTAAAGCTAACTCCTAGCCAATTCAAAAATGAGTGGAGTGGAGCTGAGGCAGACGTGAAGCGCTTCTGTGACATCGACCGTCCTGTGACAGCACCCACCTGTTCCACCAAACAGCCACACCGTTAATTATTCATAACTTGAAAAGGAGGTTAACTTTTACTAAATGGACATCTCTGACATCCCAATATGTTTACAGTTTGATCATTTTGAACTGTAGGTGAAGAGAACAGCTGGCTTCGGACAAAGAGCTCGGAGTTATGGGGTTTCTCATGTAACGACTAAAACATCTGAATTATAAATAGCTGCTCAGGCAGAACCACACATCTGAAAAGTCCGATCATGTTTGATTCTGGGAAAGCAAAAAATGCTACCCTTTACAACCATGAAATGCAGACGTTACTTGGTATTACTCCTTACATGACTGATGTTTAATGGATGTTGCAAAAGAGACTAAAAATATCAGACAGGGATGGTGACCCTGGAACCTTTCCATGAATTTTTTGCCTTAGCTCGGTTTCTCTAATTAAAGTGCAAGTAAAGGTGCTTTCAACTGGTGTCCGTAAAAATGTTGCAGTGTTACAGTAAAGGTACATATGACTTAAAGGGATTTCATAGGCATAAAAGTGAAAAGAAAAAACTCAACATCTATTTCACACATGCACACATCTGGAGACATCCATACGCCTCTACACTGACCTCTCTCCTCCCAGAGGCAGAGTTGACTGACAGCCAGGAGAAATTTATCGAAGTCCCAGACACCCCACGAGCCTCCTCACAGGGTGCGCTCCAGAACATCTTCACTTTCTGCGTCATAAATCCAATCACAGCTCCGTGCTTCATGGTCAAATAAGTTTCCATAAAACATCTTCCAACAGCTCATGTATCACTTAGATCTAATTAATGTTGTGCTGTGTGAGGAACAGTATTGCTAGATTCAGGCTCATAAACGAGGTCGAAAGAACAGAACTTAACTAAAAGCAACAAAATAAAGCATCTGCACTGATCAAACAAACTCTTAACAGACCTCCATAACACTGAACAACAGGAAATAAATGTACTGACCAGTTACAGGAGAAACGTAAAGAAGCACAAAACAGTACAACTGGTCCACCTAATCCAAAGAAAAATAACAAACAAACCCAAAATACATCCAGTTACCCAGCACAAATCAAATGAATAAAGGAATATTTAAATCAAATAATGCATATCCACCACCAATAAAAAGCACATCTACTATATTGTATTCATTTTTCATACAAAGTGTAGCATAATGTCAATAATTACGATTACATTTGGTGTAAATTCAAAGTATTTTCTTCTCAACACTTCATCACACAGACAAGCAGCTGGCACAGATCGAGTTGTGCAGTTTCATTGGCTATTCACAACACCTAGTAAATACTGAGAGACCAATTCAGCTGGCAAGAAGGGATACAGTTCTGGATGCGGTGTGTCAGCCTGGCTCTGAGGTTTAATTCATCATTTGTCAGTGTCCTTTTAAACACTGGTGTGAACAGGGATTAAAGTTTCCAGCTGAAGCTTTGCCTACTTGGGTCTCTGTGCTGTAATTTTTCTTTCTTGCCGTGCAACCATGTGAAATATGGCCTCAAATTACCACTAGCTTGAATTTCCTGCGGTGGGTGAGTTGTGCTTAGGTGGCATCATTAGATTTGGATTCGCGACTTGTCCTGGATGAAACTCAGTCAACATTTTGCCAGGCCGGGAGTTCTTAACACAATAAATGCACCATAAACGGCATCAGCTGAGATAACACAGTTCATTTTTCCACATGTACAGTCGTCCTCAAATGTATTCATACCCTTCCATTAAAGAAAAGGCAAAATTCACAATAGTCACTCAAATAACTACAAACTGGAAAAAGTAATAATAAATTTAAAAATGCTAAATTATAATTTTGTGAAATAAGACATTGCTTTTGAATTTTGGTTAAAAAGAAGAATAATAAAAAAACAAAACTGTCCCAGACAAATGAGAGCACTTTACTGATGAGCAGTGGGCCAAAATCAAAATACCTGTCAACAGGTGCAGAAGTCTGATTGAGAGTTACAGAAAACACTTGATTGCAGTGATTGGCTCAAAGGGCTGTTCAATAAAATATGGTTTACTTGGTTTTTTTTGTTTTTTAATATTTCTGTTGAACCAAAATTCAAAAGCAATGTCATGATTTTCATAAAATGTTTATTTATTATTACTTTTGTCAAATTCAATTTATTTCAGTGACAGCTTTTTTTAATGGGAGAGTATGAATACATTTGAGGATGACTGTAGTATCTTTGTAAAGAGTGAGTAAATCTAAAGAACCTAAAAAGTCCCACCAGAAATAATCCAGGACAAATGACTTCTAAGCAGAAAGCCTGGTGCCTTGCCTGTTATCACTCATCCCACTTGTTAAACTGAGCGTTATCAACAGGCAGCAGACTCAGAAGACAGCATACCCACATTGAACATTAGAATCAGGGACTTTGTCAGAGATGAGGGTTAACGCCATACTTATTTTTATTTGTCTTTGTGTTTCAGTTTCAAGCAGGTCTATGGCTGCACACGAGCCTCCTCGATGGCGGCCACCAGGACACACAGCGAACAAGTTCGACACAGAGGGACGCGCTGAGACACCCACCCTCACCAGCACCCCCCTGAAACAGAGCTATGTACGTCTCTAAAAGCTCTCTCCAGTAGTAAAACCAAACATAACTAACTGTTGGGGCTTGGAAATACATAAACAGTCCATTTCCTTCTCCAGCTGTCGGCACTAAATATATGTTTGTCGTGTTTCCAGCTGAGTCTCATGTCTCAGTGCAGCGGCAGCATCGAGAACATTAAGAGAGTGTCACTGATCCTGGATGACGAGGAGCAGCCGGAGGAGTTTGGTCTGACAGGACTGACTGCCTCAGACAAACAGTCAGGTGAGAGTCACTTTGCAGACATGAGTTGCTTATTAAGAGGATGTTTACTGTGATGGATTACACAACTGTGGCAGAATTCCTGCACTGCTGCAAGACATATAAATGGAAATAAGTGGATGGAACAGTAGAGAATGTGTCCAGATTCCTGACAGCAGACTGGTTTGCAAAACAGTAAGTTGCTAGGTGTGTGTGGTTTGTAGAAAATAGGCTCCAGCCTGCAGAATCATTTGTATGGTTCTCTAAGCTGGTATATTCATACATATTGGTGCCAATTACCTTTCCAAAGAGCAGCACCAAATATCCCGTCATCATTACTGTAGTTTAGAATTCAGGATTTTAGATTTTACTTGTGGTGCTAAGCTTTAATATCAATGAAAGACCATTCGCTTACACTGCACATTTTGATATTCCAGGTTGTCAAGCAAACATTAAAACTGAACATTTGTTAACATATGTAAAACCACAACACCACATCAGACACACAGTAAAGGGATGTTCCATTTAAATGGTCAAAGGTTAATTTATTTGAATGCTTTTCTCAGCAGGCACTTCCATCTTCCAACTGCAAACTAGCAAACCTTCATCATCTAATGTTCATCTGTCAGTGTGTAATGATTGAGAGTTTCAGTAGCACATGACAGTCTATGTTTGTGTTCTTTCAGGTGTGATTGAACGCTGGGAGCTGCTCCAGGCTCAGTCCAGGTGTAATCAGCAGGTCGGCCCTCAGCAGCCTCAACCGCCCACCTCCGATCTGGACGATATCACTTCCTGGTTAGAAAACGTGATCCCGGAGCTGAAGCGCCTCCAGCATTCCGACCCAGCAGCCAGCATCAAGGACATGGAGGCCAAAGCCAAAGAACTAAAGGTCAAATTTAACCCTGAACGTGACACAGCTGATGGTAGACTGTCACTGTATTTACTGATAGATGACGTCCCTTAAGGTTTAACTGACAACTAACATTTGAAAACATCAACATTTGCAGTAAAAACGAAAATGTCCAAACTTTGAATTAACACTAAGTCCAACACAAAATGGTAAAATGCCTTTGTTTATTTATGATTTACATGTTTATTTAGAGGGCTGCAAGGTGGATCGGTGGTTAGCACCGTTGCCTCACAGCAAGAAGTCGCTGGTTCGTGGAGTTTCTGTGTGGAGTTTGCATGTTCTCCCTGTGCAGCATGGGTTCTCTCCGGGTTCTCTGGCTTCCTCCCACACAGTCCAAAAACATGTTGAGGTTAATTGGTGATTCTAAATTGTCCGTAGGTGTGAATGTGAGTGTGCTTGGTTGTCTGTCTCTAAGTGTAGCCCTGTGATAGACTGGCGACCTGTCCAGGGTGTCCCCTGCCTTCACCCTGAGTCAGCTGGGATAGACTCCAGCCCCCCCGCGACCCTAGTGAGGACTAAGCGGTGTATAGATAATGGATGGATGGATAGAAAATTGGTTGAACTTTTCAAAATGTATCCTTCAGGGCTGAGAGGATGTTACTCTTGTTGTCTAACCAATCAGATCGGATGTGGCTGCGTCAGAGCCACAGTAGCACATTTTTATCGACCTCTAATACTCTTGAGTGTTTTCTTTTGCAGGAGATGCAGAAAGCGTTTGCTCGCTACAAGTCTATCATGCTGTCTGTCAACCTGCGGGCTGAGGAAGCTCCAGAGCTGCAGGACAGACTGACGAGGATGAACAGAGACTGGAGCAGAGCGTGTACGGGCCTCCAGCAGTGGGACACCAGTCTGAGGAAGACGCTGATGCGCTGCCAGGTGAGTATTCATAACCACATATTCAGGACACACTATTATACAACGCAGCCTCAAGACTGGTGTTTTAAATCAACGGCCACTTTCTCATGTCAGACATTTTGCTCTTACTTACTGTATGTTTTCCAACTTTAAATATTGCAGAGGGTGAATTGTTTTGTTAAGTTGACACCTGTTTTTTCCTTTTTTCTTAAATTGAGCTACTGTGTAAATGTATTTTAAATGAATTAATACTTGCTTACAGTTACAGTTACAGTACAAGTTACAGTGCAAACGAAAGCATCAAAAAAGGGAAAATATTTTCAAAAAGCACTCATCAGAATGTTAAACCCATGCTGGTTTTTAATCACAGTTTAGTACGGAAAAAATAATACTATGACTAGTTGTTTTTTGGTTGTTGTTCTATCAAAATGTATAAGAGATTGAGTCATAGTACACACTAGAATTGAACGTCTGGACTCTAACAAATGACCTTCAACCTTTTCCATTCAGGAGTTTCATGAAACCCTGCACTCTCTGCTGCTGTGGCTGGCTCATGCAGAGAGCAGACGCTACGCTGTGGACATCAGCCACCCAGACACAGCCGTCAGAGCCCTGCAACAACACAGCAGCACACTCACTGTAAGCACACATGTACTGCAAAGAAGACAGAAATGACTCCTAAAGTAGACCCAACTCATGTGAGATGTACTATAAATGCAATAAAGCAGCAGAGCCCAATTTATCATGTAATCTAACAGACAGCTTTGTGTTGTCCAGGACCTGCGGGACGAGCTGCGGGGCAGGCAGGCCCAGCAGGCCTCCCTTCAGGCTCTGTGGTCTCAGCTCCAGCCTGAAGACGGAGCAGAAGAGAGCGACGAGGCCCAGGAGAAGCTCCACGTGACGGGAAGCAAGTTGAAGTTGCTGCTGAGGCAGGTGGACCAGGACCTCAGCACCCTGCAACAGCGTCTGGTAATAGTCCACTACTTTTTTCTAGCTTCATGTGTCAGCGTCCTGAAGTTGTGAATGAAGGTGCAACAACACACAAGAGACAAAAGGAGGTGTTACGGTTGTCTTTAAATGTCTTCATATCCTCCCATTAAAGAAGGAAAAAAACAGCTGTCACTGAAATAAGTTGAAATTGGCAAAAGTAATAATAAATACAATTTTAATAAAAATCATGACATTGCTTTTGAATAATGGTGTAACAGAAATGTATATATATGTATGTATATAAAGCAAGCAAACAAGCATGATGGGACCCGTAAACTAATATTTTGTTGAACTTTGAGCCAATCACTGCAATCAAGTGTTTTCTGTAACTCTAAGTGCTCTAATTTGTCCGAGACAGTTTTGTTTGTTTTTTTTAAATTATTCTTTTCAACCACAATTCAAACGCAATGTTTTATTTCACTAAATTATAATTTAGCAAATTTTTATTTATTATTACTTTTTTCATTTTCTAGTTATTTGAGTTACTATTGTGAATTTTGCCTTTTCTTTAATGGAAGGTTATGAATACATTTGAGGATGACTGTATGTGTTTCTTTTGCTGCGTGTTGTCTGTTGGACCTTTTGTTCACCCACTCACCTGTGCCTCGTCTTAAGTGTTATATAAATTCTTATAGGATTTAGGGGGATGTATAAGCAAAAATAGGTGTAGCATCCACAATTATATTTGTAATAATGTAGAATCACCTGTTGCTATGAACTTGAGCACTTCGTATCTTCTTCCATGGTGCCTGTCCCATTATGCTGCCATGTTTCTACAGAAGTCCCGTGTAGACAAAGCCCAAGACTGGCTGTAAGAGGGACTTTAAAATGTTATGTTAAATTATCCATCTGTGGATTCCCCTGTATGTTTGAAAAAAGAGGGTTGAGAGTGTCAGTTGCGCTCTGCCACTTTAACTTTTTCACCTTTTAAAATGAATTATATATCAACCCTCTGAACTCCAAGCAGTCTCTGGGTGTTTTTTTTTTTTTGCTTCTCTCACATTATTACTCTCTGTGGGCTAATTTTTCACTGCAATATAAAGTAATGCCTCCATGGAAACAAGATAAGCATGACTAGAAGTGGAAATAGAGAGAGCATGAATCATACATAATTCTGTCTGAATTCACATTTTCTGGTTCTAATAATTATGTTGGTATTTTTGATATTTTGAAAAAGGCAACATGTCTGTCAAAGTCACCAGCAGATTTGGGGTTTAAGAAGGTTAATATCAAAACATTTATTTGTTTATTATTTTCCGATATTGCTTTTTAGTTTTCTTGTATATGTCAGGCTTGATATGATAGAATATTTCTTTGTCTTTAATTCAGGATTGTGAATCTGCATCAGCTGTTCAAGCCCAAAGTACATCAGCAGACCAGGAGGCCCCACATTCAAAGAAGAGTCCCTCCTCTCAGAGGTTTGTAGAAAGACATTATTTTGTCTTTAGGTTTCAGCTACATTTTGCAAGCTCTCTCCTGCTTTATAGCATTTGTGTGTTCCTGTCTTCCTGTAATAAACATTATCACTGTATCGTGCAGAGAACGGAGGGAATCTGGCCGCCCTCGATCCTTCTTCTACCGGGTCCTGCGTGCCGCCTTCCCCCTTCAGCTCCTCTTCCTGCTCCTGCTGCTCCTCCCCTGTCTGATTCCCATGTCGGAGAGTGACCCCAGCTGCACTGTGGCCAACAACTTTGCCCGCTCCTTCTACCCCATGCTGCACTACACCAACGGCCCACCGCCCACCTGAGTGGAATCTGCATGGAAACAGAGACATTTTCTAAAGCATACACTGAGAAACACATGGCACCTTTTCTGTCAAAGTGAAACATGTACTGACATATAAAACTGATATTATCATTCAAGATTTTTATTTAAATGTATTTGTAAAGATTTGACCTTATAGCATAGTGTATGTATTCCCTGAAGAGAACCACACGTTTGACTGTCTTCCAATCAGTGCAGGTAAATATTTTAGTTGTAATATTGTAAAGATCTTGACACCATTCACGATATCATTCACTTTAGCTACTTGCAGACTGGCCACAGCACTGTGAGGAGTCATAGATGAGGTCTGGTTTAGGCAGCACATACTCCAGCAGCAGCAGAAAGATGTAGAGTAACAGGTCAGATAGTTTTATCATCCCTAAACGAGGGGGTGACAAGAAGACAGCAAATATATTCCAGGGAGTTCAGCGGATAATAACTAAGGGGTGGAGGTGTAACTAATCAAATAAGTTGATGTAATCGCAGTATTTTGTCCCTGCTTGAAAAGATAAAAGGTTCGTATGATGGATAATCATGCCTTAACATCCCCTTTCACTGAACGAGGCTGCTTTAGTGGGTTTTCACAAACCATCACTCTGTAACTTATTGTCCCTGAGCTCCATGTTCTTGAGATCTGCATGTTCATATTTAGGTTATGTCATGAACTGTTAACATTTCATTTTGTCTGATGTTATCCTTCCTGTTAGACTGAACACTTTATTTTATACAACAAAAGAAACACACTGCTTACATTTGAATGTATTCTATAAAGATCAACAGAAGAAAATGTCATTTTATACACATACTTGTATTTTCATATTTTTGTAGATGTGATTTGTCTTGTGTAGATTGTGAGCAGACACTTCCATATCTTCTGGTGCACTGTTAAGACATTATAGATTTACTGGGATGTTTATGTACAGAATGTAATAATATAATGCTTATTTATAACATCAAGACATGGATTTATGAGCCTGATTTTCTGGTAGTAAACAATGATTGTCTCACATCTGCTGTTTAAAGACTTTTCATTTATAATTTCGAATCCCCCAAAAATTGCTCAGTGAAATGTTCAATTTCAGATGCTTGATTTATAGAGATGTAGTTTGGTAAAGAAGATCGCTTTAAATTACCAAGATAAAACCGATACATTTTTAAAGTAAAAAAAGAAAAATTAAGGTTGAATTAAATACATTTTGGACGCTAAAATCTGTAGCATTTAATAATATTTTCTTTTTCTTAATTTGTTTCCAAAGATATTTGGCGTTAATAATCCACATGTCCCAGCATATTCAAGTGAAACAGTCCATCAACTATGACCAAGTCGTATGCTGCTCTTCATAATGTAAAGCCCATATGAGACTTGTGTTTGCAGACTTCTCCCCTCAGGGCTGTGCCCTCTCACCTCTGCTCTTCATCTTCCATACCAATGACTGCAGGTCCACCCACCCAGACGTTCATCTGGTTAAGTCCACAGATGGCACTGTTCTCCTGTCCCTGCTCTCAGGCCCATCACACCACCATACCTCTGCACTCCATGAGTTTGTGGAGCGGCGTGATATATCTCTCCTGGAACTAAACGTAGAAAAGACCAAAGAGATGGTGCTGCCCTTCTCCTGCAAGCAGAGGGAGCTGGCTGCAACAGCTGTCTGCACAATCCATGGGAAGACAGTAGAGATAGTGGATGTACACAAATAGCTGGGTACAATTTCTGAAAGCAAGTTTGCCTCCAACACTGAGGAGATCCTCAGAAAATGTCAGCAGTGTTAGTATCTACTGGGGAAGCTCAACACTTTTGGTGTCAGCTCGTTCCATCAGCCTGCTAAACAGGACCCACCTGCAGGGCATCGCCAAGGTCTGCTCCAAGAACACTGGACTTCTACTTAGAGCACTTTGCACCCTGTGTGTTCAGCAGATAGTGAGGACAGTGAGCAGGATCCTCCAGCGTTTAAACGACTCCCCTCAGGATGTCCGCTCTGCTGTCCAGGATGCAGCACTCGAGACGAGGAGAGCCAGCTTTGTTCCCAGGACTGTTCAGCTCCTCAACTTCCAACCATCACTCCTAGCTCCCAGGATTACCATGACCTGGATGACCAGGAATCTAACAGAATTGTGTGCTTGTGTACCCACATTAAAAAGTTAGTCTGGAATCTCTGGCATCCAAGTTTTGTTTAGGCCAAAATCATTAACATATGAGATCAACTTGAGTTAAAGAAGACGTGATCATTTTAGCCGTCCGGTTGGATTCATTCATTGAAAGTAGTGTCTGTCCAATACTTTTGCTTTGTTTTCTGGTGGAGAAGTTAAACACTTACATATAAAAAGAAATGGTCACACATTAAAATCCCTCTGTCTGATTATCTGAAAGTTGGGAGAATACAGTGGAGATCGTGTTTGATAAGTGACAGAAAAACCAACAGGTGTTTGTAGAATTTTACTGGTTTACACATTCATTGATAAAGGTTTTCACCAGAAATGAGCAACGAGTGACATTTTGTCAAGGAGCATGAAGTACACTGTAAGTACATATACACAGTGATAACACAATTTGCTGAATGGTGACAAAGCGAGTGTTGATAGGAAATGCACAAGGACCAGACATACAGACGCCTACAGCTGGTGAAGAACCATTAATCTTGCAGTGATTGTTAAAGCTGCATCATGTCACAATAACTACTGTAGCAAAATACAAAAATAGTCTTTTTCTTCAAGAAAAAACCTGCCATGTCTTCCTAAGAGCAACAGTGGTGATGGTTCTTCACAGGAAACAAGATGTCTTTGAAAAATAGAGCAAAGACTGGTGTAAGCAGGCGATAAGGTAAAGCACCCTGTAGTGGTCAACCAGAGGTCTGAGCGCCACAGCAGCAGCTTGAATCACAGTATATTTATAGCAACACGCTGTATCAGAATCATGGAATTTGGAAATTGAATTCTAAAACATTAGTAGAAACAATTTGCAGAATAAATACATCATACAACAGAAGTGAGAACACCTTGTGCAGTATCACTTAAACATCAAAAGACTCAACATTGTATCAGTAATCGCATTACTTCAAAGTCAAACAGTCGAGTATTTTCTTTTATGAACAATCAAAAACAAACACTTTCAAAACAGAGTATTGAAAAAAACCAAGTAGTAGAACTTGTGAGTGCACTTGTGAGGAGAAATGACACACAAGTTACAAAACCTGTGATCATTAAAAGCAAACTGAATTCACCTGTGATTTACCATCAGTCTAACTGCATGAACACGGTTCTAAAAAGAGCTGAGAACACCAGAACTTTGTCAGAACTCACTTCTGTTGTATGTTGTAGATAGGATGTCTGCTTTTCTCAATCAAATGAAATCGCCGAATGTTGTTTAACCCAAGACAGAGTAAAGAACTAGTTTTAAGATGTCAAACATTTGCTTTTAGCCTCTCAAATGTGATGATTTGATGCTTTTTCTTGGCATACATAGTATTAAATGGAATATCTTTGGATCTGGGACTGATTGACCACAAGAGCACATCTAAAGACATGACTGTGTTCTGTGGGAAATTACAGTAGGTATTTTACTTGCATACACTGTGATAAATTTGTTAAAATAACCAAATAATCAGCAGCTTAGCTGATAATGACAATCTTTGCTTGCAGTCTTATCTGTGAACAGTTAGTTAACAGCTAAGCATTTGTTAAAAAATAAAAAACATAACAAAGGCAAAGCACAAAGTTGGGATTTGTCAAAGAAAGGTTAGGTTCAGGTTTCTCCTAATTCAGACTTAAACTCTACAGCAGACCCCTGGTTGCCATCTCTGTGGGCATCATTACACAGCTGTTGGTTACACCTCCATGATTGTACCAGCAAGGGGCAAATATATGGACTGATAAAGCAGTAAAAAGCTTTGCTGTAATTATTTACTGCCTGAGAGGGTTACTGTCCAGCTCTGGCCTTCTCATCAAACAGCACCTGTGGTTTATTTGAAGCAGATGACGTTGTAATCACTGAAAACCACAGCAACTCAAGGCCCACAGTAATGTGTTACATGTAGAATGAAGCAAACACTGGTCCCAATGGTCAAACTACCAGTTTGAGAACAGCTCCTGTTCCAGTCTGGCTTTTTGATATATAGAGGCAAGGCAATGAATCTGGCAGGTTTGGCTTTTCATCTACAGCTTTAGCTTTGCAGATTTGGGAAATTCACCAGAAATAGTGCACAGTGTGTCAAAGATTCAGCAGTGATCGATCAGAGAATCCAGCTCTCAATCTTTGCAGATAGTTCCTATAAAGCACCCCAGTCCTGTCTACTACTTTTGTGCAAAGCAGTGAAATTTCATTGCATTTGAATTCTGATGTGACTACTGGGGTGCACCTTCGACTCCGGCGCTGCTGGGCGTCCAGGTATTTGAGGGTCCGACCCCGGAGCTGTGCGGCTGAACGGAAACCTCCTCCTGATCTGTGGACTCCTGCTGAGGAGGCTGGCGAGGCAGACGGGAGCTGTGCATGATGTGGGCGTCCAGCATCTCCAACAGGAGGTCGTACAAAGGCACCATGTTCTTCATTTTCATGCAGTGAAGATGGTCCATGCCTTTGTTACTGCAAATTTGGAAAGACAAACAAAGAGTTGGAACAGCAATCAGTGCAGTAACCCAAAAGTAGTTTGGTCTGCACTGCTTTGTGTAATAATGGGGCAATAAAATACATTTAAGGAAATGAGGACCATGTTTCCACATTACACAAATTATTATTATTACACAAGTGTTTCATCAGAGCATTCGATGTGCACGCAGTAGGAGCATGATGTAGGGAGTCCTGTTACCTGGCATGGCGGATATGTGAGAGCAGCATGAGCAGGTGGGCAAGGCGGGTGTACTGCTGGCGGAAGGTGAGGCCGGTTTTGCCGATAGCCGACACCAGAGCGTCCGTTACAGCGTCCAGGAGAGATAGCAGTTTGGAACGACTCTGCAGGTCCTCACTGCCCTCTGAGGAGCTGAGGCACATGTCTGGTAACAGAAAAAAAAACACACACACACACGTCAGGGTTTAAACAAGGGCTGTTTTAAATGTACATAACAATTCAAGTGCAGTTAGAATTAGATGATGGCTCTAACTACCACAGATATTTTATGACAAATGTTTTAAATTTGTTTCCATACTTGTCTCCTCTCTGCTCTGTGGAAACACAGTCTGCAGTTCAGCCAAAAACTGTCTAAATGTTTGTCACTTGAGTCACTAATGTCTTCTTCGTTGTGCTGAGGAGCTGGAAACTGTTGAATGAATCTGGTGCCGATGGTATATTTTGGGTGGATTTTAAAATGAGACATATAGAATAAAGTGATTTTGATGAGGTATCAAAGCTTTGATTGAGTTGAGTTTTTCAACAACACTGCATGTTGCACATGATTAGTTTAGGGACTGACTCAAAGTTAAAAATCAACCAGTTTCTGACTCTGATAGATGGGGTAATCTTGGCAATTTGTTTTTAAGATAACATGTCTTTCAAACTTGCCTGCAGGTTCTAACAATAATCACATGTGGCTCTCTCCTACACGCTATAAAGAAAGACTATGAACACTGGCGTTTCAAGCGCTGCTATTACTACATAGTGAAATAAAACCAATTTCTGTGGCCAGTGTGGAAGAGCTTCATGATGCAGACCACTGGACGCTCGAATCATACCACTCAATGAGAAGGATGTTGAATTGCTCTTGCCTCCATCCTGCTCATCTTCACACAGGTAGCTTCGTGCTGCTCCGAGCATTCAGCAGAACCACAGAGAGCGGGGACTCAAACCACACACAGTGTCCCTTTAGGGGTTTTCTCTGCTACCTTATTCACTAACCGTGTGCAGACTCACATCATCACAAGCTGAGACACCAATCAAACATTCGACTGCGGTTTCCCGTCCTGGAGACCCATGCACACTCAACCTCACATGCAGAACATGGCACATGGAGAGGACCCTACCGGCGTATGTCCGCCCACACACACACAGACACACAAACATGCTCTACTCACTGGAGTTAAGGAGGATCATGGCCTTGAGGCAGACGTACTCCTCCCTCTGCAGCTTGAGCTCTCTCACCCGGGACGTGGCAGCGATCAGCATATCAAATATCTCCGCAAACCCCTGGACACAGCTCCCCTCCTCTCTGCCACAGAAAGACACAAACATTTGCAATTATTTATCATTGGCAACTCCACCAGATTATGCTGAAGTGTACAGACGCTTCTCTTAAACGCAGCATAGATTTACCTCCCACCAAGACATAAAAGCGGACCTGAAGCGTACTCATGTGGCATCGAACTCAACTGTAAAGGCAGAAAGCTCTGAGGCTGAATACTCAGGTAACTTCATTGACACATCTTTCAGTTGCAGTTTTCAGTTTTGACTGAAAAGGTGTACAAAGAATGAAAAGAAAAAAATCAATTTTCCCGTGAACCTTGCGCTGCAGCATGTGAGCCTTGTGGTGAGAGGGCCCAGGAAGGTTCCCTGCAGCTTCTGCAGCAGTTTAGAAGCACAACATGAAACTAGCTGGAACCAAATGTGAGAAAAAGAAGTCCCAATGCTCATATATTCTCACTTTCTCAGTGACAAATATCTGCATGTTAATGTTAGGAAATAAATCATGAATAAAGCAAGTGAAGCCGCATCTGTTATTCATTAGCAGCATGAAGTGAATGTGGGATGGATGATGTTCTATGACGGCAGTGCTTCATACTGTACATATGAGAGGTTTGAACCATTCATCCATTATCTATACACTGCTTAATCCTCACTAGGGTTGCGGGGTGCTGGAGTCTATCCCTAGTATTTTTCCTTGGTGGCTCTCCTTTGGGGGATGATCTTGTTCCATGGATGTCAATTGATTTGTGTGAGTTCCTGACCAGGGCTACATTCAAAAATTGCATACTTTTTCTTTTTACTTTTAGAACCTACTGTAGCTCTCCTCACCAAGTAGGTACAGTTTCATGCAGTTTGCATACAACTGGGACATGTGTCATTGTAATACTGTGCCTGAAACTTGGAGAGTCACAGTCTGTAGTGCTAAATGCTCTGTCATCTGTGTGTGCAGTTTTAGTGGTTTAAGCTTGTTTATACTCTGTGCAGGTATGTCACATACATTACAGTGTCTCTTTAGAGGTCTGCGGGTCAGAATAGACAGAAAAGCTGCAGGCTTGCATACTTCAAAATATGACCGAATGCAGTAGAACATCTGGGTATTTTTGGCATACTTCATTTAACATAACGTGTACTGGGACAGGGCTGCAGGGTGGCTCGGTGGGTAGCACCGTTGCCTCGCAGCAAGAAGGTTGCCAGTTCGTGGGGAGTTTGCATGTTCTCCCCGTGTAGGGTGGGTTCTCTCCAGGTTCTCTGACTTCCTCCCACACAGTCCAATAACATGTTGAGGTTAATTGGTGATTCTAAATTGTCCATAGGTGTGAATGTGAGTGTGCTTGGTTGTCTGTCTCTAAGTGTAGCCCTGTGATAGACTGGTGACCTGTCCAGGGTGTCCCCTGCCTTCGCCCTAAGTCAGCTGGGATAGACTCCAGCCCCCCGCGACCCCAGTGAGGACTAAGCGGTGTATAGATAGATAATGGATGGATGTACTGGGACATACTGAATCTTTTTCACCCTTAACGTGAGCACCTCACCTCTGTGCCTCCCTTTGTCTTTGTATTTTTGGTGTAATTCTGTAAGCGTTCTGTGTATCTACTCGCTGGTGGTTATTTGTTGTCTTTGTGTGTTCTGTAATTTCTTGTCAGTGGTTTCCTGTAGCCTTGTGATTTTCGGTATCTACCTGTTGTTGATTACTCGTTCCCCACATGTGTCCTGTAGCCACTTACTTGTGGTTACTTACAGCTTTGTGCTCTCTTTGATTTATTGTACTGAGGCACTCCTCTAACTATCATAACCTGGGCCAGGCTCTGTAAAGTTCACACATCTGAACACACTTTTGCAGTTACTGTTAATAAGGTACACTAGGATCAGGCTGCTGCAGCCAATGTCTTTAGTTTGGGTAGTTTATCTGTTCCTGTTTGTGGTTCTATTTTATTAGTTTCACTCATTTAGCAACACCCACATTCCTTGTTTTCACTGCATTTTTTTCTCCTTTCCTCATTAGTGATGCTACTAACAATAAAGCAAAGCGAAAACAACAGGTTTTGTTGATGCCCTGCAACCTAACAGAGTTGAGATGTAACACTGATAAATATCTATGCTGGACAAACACTGTTTTACTTATCACCCAACATATTTGACAACCCTTTGGCTGATTTTGGAGGTTCATGAACCTGAAAGGCAGAAAAGACTTAAAGTATAACACATCCACTGACCAACCACAACAGTAAAATCTAATTCTCAATGTGACATAACTCCATTGTCTGGTTTAGATATTTTGGCATCAAATTTGAACTAATCATGACATTATAGACATCTCAAACTAGAATCCTGCCTTGTCAGAATCTAATTACAGATATCCTGAATTGGAGTTTTTAGGCAAAAATGATGCTGCAGACATCTGTAGTTACATCAGAAGCTACAGCAAGCATGAGGCAGCTTGCTTTTCAAACAACCACATATGACAAACCGTTGTACTGTCATGTCAGAGCATCCTTCTAGTTAATTTCCACAAGTGTCTAATGAGCGAAACTCTTGTTCTTCGCAACCTCATCATTTATGACCTCTTTTCTATCTAGCTACATTTTCTAACAATCGTATTCGCCACAGAAGCCGCTGTTACTTCTGCTAACACTGTTCTGATGCTTTACTGGACCAGCATCTAATGAGAAGCCTCATATGGGCAGCGTCATGCACCAACATTCAGACAAGCAGAATGAAGTTATAGCAATCTGGAAAAAAAAACATTCTGACTAGTCACCATGTAATTATGATTAGTCAGGATGATGCTGTTAATACCTGTAATTTGTCTGTAAATGTCAAAACACCTTGGCGTATTCTTTTTGTTCTTTTAGTGGCGTGTTAATGTGTATCTTTCTGAACATTGTTATTAGTGCTCTTTATAAGTACTAAAAACTGGAGTCAAATTACTCCATATTTGCAAGCATAATCCTTTATTCATGTAAGTGACATGGTGGTGGTTGGAGGTTTTGGTGGTACCTGCTCAGGCTGAGGTCTGGGGAGAAGATGAGTTTCCCTGGATGGTCCACTGACCTCCACATCAGTCCGATCATCAGCACCTCCAGCCAGCAGCACTCCAACAGGTGCACCTGGTCCAAGAGGCCGAGCTCGACAAAGCCTGAGGAGAGGACGTGATCAGACAGTGCATGACTGTGTATGTGCAGACCAAGCATATCACAGAAACTTTATTAACGCTAATGAATTTTGGTCAGCCTAATTAAAGAGGCCAGAAGAGCAACTAGGCTGCAGCAGGAGGGCATAATAAAGAATAGGAGATAAACAACAGCAGCAACACAACAACACAGTAGAAGAATGCTGTGTGCTTTCTGGAACAATGTCTACAGTCAGTGACAATAAATGCTACCTAACACTGATTAACGAGCCAACGGGCTGTAACCAAGGCACTTGCTGAGTGCTCAAGAAATCAGAGAAATACACATTTTACATTGTGTCTGTATCTGTATTTTCTTCAAAATCCTGGTTGTGAATCACCTTCTCATGCCTTCTGAGTGAGGATATTAACTTTCACAGACAGTTAAAATCAGCTGTTAACTGACAGATTATTAATAGCAGATGAGTTTTACTGATCACAATCATTTGTTTAAAAAATTACTAAGTCTCTGTTTCTTGAGGCCTTAGGCTAACTCCCCTGGACTGCTGTTTGTAATAACAGAAATATTTGTGCATGTAGAAGAATGCAGTGTGTACATTCACTGAGCACCTTATTAGAAGCACCATGCTAATTGCTACAAATACTGTGTCGGGCCTCCCATCATCAATATCACAGGATGCTGGAAACATTCCTTTGAGTGTGACATCACATTGATGTGATTTCATCCCATCTTTTCTGCAGATATGTTGACTGTACATTTGTTCCGTGAATCTCCTGTTGTACCACACCCCAAAGGAGTTCTAGAGGATTCAGATCTGCTGACTTGGGGCGTCACTGAAGTCCACTGAACTCAACATCATGTTCATGAAACCAGTTTGAGGTGACTTTTGCCTCGTGAGGAGGTGCATCATTGAGCTGCAAGCAGCCATTAGAGGATGGGAATTTATTGGTATTCAGCTGCCAAAAGTGTGTCAGAAAACATTCCTGACATCAATTAACCAGCAGCAGCCTGGACTGTTGGCACAGGGCTCGAGTCCATGGATTCATGCTGTTGAGTCAGACTAGTGGCACAGCCCCTGGTGTTTGTGCCGTCTTGTTTATGTGGTGGACTTGTGACAACTGTGTGGGCCCAGGTGTGGCTGGCTGAAGACCATGCTCCAGATCCCACCTGGCAGGCATCAGGGACGATTGCCCTGGAGCTCCAGACCTGCTCTCAGTTTCCCGCCTCCTGTCTCATCTGATTGGTCCACAAACCCAGAGCCCTCCTCCAAGACCCCAGCAATCACCACACCTGGTTAGAAATCTACAACCAACCTCTCAGTCAGGGCAACTGGGATTTAACCTGAACAGTTTGCCCTGGTGCCTGTGTCAATGTGTTTTGTTTGTTAAACAGTAACTGCTGTTGGAGGCTACTAACTTAGTAAGCCGAGTCTTAGAGAAGACTGACGCTTCAGTTAGCAGCTGTCCAACTTAATTTAGGAGTTACTGGTATCTTGTGTAATGTGTGTTTTGAGGCATTTGTTTAGTTTCTTCTAGCAACACCCAATCATTTTCTTTGTATTATCACAGTTTGTTTCATTACTGAGCAATAAATTGCTTTACCTCGACAACCAACAACTGTTTTTTTGTTACATCCAGCTGACCCTAGAGGCTGGATTGTAACAAACTGGGACTTGTCTGGGATCCTAAATGATCACAAAGGTAAAGTAATTTAAGACTTTAGTAACTTCTTGTTGTTTTTTTTCTGATTGGTTGTAGGTAAGTTGGCAGCTTATATTAGCAAATGTGTTTGCAGCTGCCTGGGGTTTGTATTTTAAGGGGAGGGTGTTTCGGCCCCTAGGGTTTGTGCCGTCTTGTGTTGTGGTGGATCCCTTGTGGACTCTGTGAAGGGAGACGTGTGGTAGCGACCTGGAGAGCCTGTTCCAGCCCTGGCTGCCACTTATTGCAGTGAAATTAATCTGGCGCTTCAGATCTGCACTCCAGCACTTGTTCTCCCCACCTGCCGTTCCTTATTGGACCATCACCAAGTTCCCTCTACCCTCACTCAGCCAATCCAACAGCAGCAATCAACACACCTGGACTATAAACCAACAGGCAACCTCCAGTCAGGGCAGCTCAGATTTAATGTGAACAGTTTGCTCAGAGGGGTATACTGCGATGCAAGTTTGACATAGCCAGGCTTTCTTTGTTAAAGCCGATTTGACAAAACCGAAATCCCCAGCCAGAGTTTACGGGTATCACAAAGGTGGTTATCAACTTTCTTTGTCAACTCAGACTTTCTGCTTCAGACTCTGTGCGCATTCACATAAAAAGGGGCGTTGAACGCGTCACGTGACTCTTCTGCAAAAAATGAAACAATGGTGTGCAGCTGCTTCAGTCAACACGTTGTTTAAACAGAGAACAGAACTAATGTTATTGATCGAACATTCTCTGTAACAAATACCAGTAGAATAATCCATTTTCTAATCTGTGTTCTATCAGCTACAGTACCAGCAGTGCAAACGGACTTGACAGAAAATCAGAGCCAAACGTAAAAACATATTTGGGATTTTTGCATCGCAAACTTAAAATGTCACTCGTTGTGGTGGGATATGATATATATTCACCCGCAACCTGCCCCAGCCGCTGCCGCCGATGGTGGCAACAGAACTTCTGTTGGCAGCTGCTAACTTAGTGTGGGAGTTAGCTGAGTCTTGGTAGAGACTAAAACTCCAGTTAGCAGCTGTCTAACTTAGTTTAGGAGTTACTCGTGTCTTGTAATGTGTGTTTTGAGGCACTTGTTTGTGTTTTAGTTTCTTTTGTTGATTATGGGTGTTATTGTAATTAAGTTTGGCTCAGGAGTTTAGTTGTTTTTGTTTAGTTTCCTAAACTCTGTTAGCCTTGGTTTGGGTTTTATTTGGTTCTTTGATTTAGCAGCACCGATTAGCCTATTTTATTTGTATTATCACAGTTGCCCATCCACCTCAGGGTTCAACACGCTGTTTATACTGAGCTGCTATCTAGCCCAGCAGTAGCACTAGCCCAGTTGTAAAGAGCAGTTTTTAGAGTTAACGTAGGCTTTCTCTCAGTTCCAACCCATCTGGATTCCATCACCAGAACTGCACTCAAGGGATGTATTATGAAACTAGAGACTGTAATCAACAATCAAAGTCAATCAGATCACATTTTTCCCTTATTCTGATGTTTGTTGTGAACATTTACTAGCCAGTGTCTGCAGGAGTTCATGCAATGCACTGCTGTCACATGATTGGCTGATTGATAACTAGATAAAGACGTGGGTGTACAGGTGTTCCTAATAAAGTGCTCATTGCTTAGGGACTATTGTCACCATAAAGGGTACATGGTCTGCAACAAGAGGACCATTTACACTGCAGGAATCCGGGGCAGATGCAAACATTTACAAAAACAGCACAGTAATCAGCCCTTTCGACTTTTCTGTTTCATTGTATTATAGATCAAACAGCTCCAACCGCAATGTTATCTCTGAGTGCACTCAAACAAATAGTAGTTACTGACAAAACTGAAGCTCTATAATTTCGCTGGAAACAGAACAATGGAAGTTTATGTTAGCCTACATGGTGAATATTATGTCATTGAGAGAGAAGTCGTCATAAAGGCACCAAAAGGGCAGAAAAATTGCTCGAGTTGTCCGTTCTGAGTTTAACTATTCAACGCATTCTCTGAACCAATTAGCACTGTGGAAAACATCATATTGTTTAGGAAGGTCATAGCTACCAAAGTAACATCCACATACATGCAAAACTCAAGGTTTCACCGCAGAACATCACACTGCAACTTGCTTTCCTCTCATAGTGCATCTTTTCCTCAGGTAAACAACACAGACATGCACCCGGCCATCCACAGGATTTAAAAGAACAACGCCAACCACACTCTGACTAGTCAGCTGTTATGTAGTGCCATGCGCAGCAAGTGTCAATACACTCTGTGTTCTGACACCTTTCTATCATAGCAGCAATAAGGTTTTCAGCAATTTGTGCTACAGTAGCTCATCTGTGGGATCTAAACATGTTTGATTTCACCCAGACTATAACCACTAAGTACACACAAGCAAATCACTTTAGGATGAGGGGGGAAAGGCTTCTGCATCATGATGAGGAATCCCACTATCTCAGTCTGATACTGTCTGCAGTCAACCTGCATGTTCGATAAACAGAGATCCTCATTCTAAGAATTATTACGGTCATTACCAGACTCCCATTCCTACACTGCTGCTCACTTTTACTACACCAGGACTCATAAGCTAAATAAAGCAGAGACAATTACTGTGTCTAGCCTAGATAAAGTCATTACCTCTGCTTTCAGAAGACATTGCTGCTCTGCAGCAATGCTTAAAATAAGAGACATAAAAACAATACACAGATGTGTTATTCTAGCTATTATTCAAGAAACTATTTTAAAAAATATATATATTTTTAACAATACTTTGCATTGTTGTAAATTCCACAAAATGTGTTTTACTATGTACTTTAAACATCTTCTGTATCTTTTCAGTGTTGCTCGTGACATCTAGCTAATCTATTAACACAACACGTATCACATCTTCCACAGAAATGGAAACCAGATATAGTGTCTGCAATAACAAGTGTTTGGATATGAAGGTGGCAAGATATTGGAAAAAAAAATATTTTGTGATATTTTGTTTTTCTGCGATATATATACATACTACAATGTGGAAAAATACCAGAATTTTTCCCAGCTGATTAAACAGAATTCATCATTATAGATTGATTAGGGTGCTTTTGTATATTTGTAGGAGAATCCATATCCATAGAATAAAAAAAAAATAAAATAAACATTTAAAAATGCAAAAAAAAAAAAAAAAAAAGTGTTTTCACTGTGAAAATTACTTTTAGGTGGGAGCCATTTGGAACCTCTCATATGATGAAACACTGGCAAAGCATCTGAAATAGCCGTTTGCTTTGGAGAGTATTTAGATTGGACTTAGCACTGCTTTCACTTCCATGTTGCTCTACAATACTGCTAATGCAAATCTGCATCCAAGTAAAACTCAAAAGTAAGGTTCTTCCTTACCTAAAATCCATTTTTTGTTGCATATTTGTCTATTGGTACACACTAGATTTTACCAATAATCAATGTCTCACATGCAGGCTGCACGCATGTGCACAGAGAAGCCTCCAGTCTCCACCAGATACTACAAGCACAGCAGCTCAGACAGGTGAGTGACTAAAAATGGCTTTGAAAAGAGTAAAAGAAGGCTTTCTGATGTCAGATTAACCAAAAATGAAAACAAGTGGTTTATCTACGTGGGCTGTTTTCTATCAGCACAGAATGTTAAACATCACTATTGCAGTTGTTCATATAATTGTGTGACTCCAAAGTCATGATTAAGATTAATATTCCATTAACTGAGTGGCCCATTTGGGGTTTTTTTTGCAACCAAACCTTCCTTTTCAGTATTTCTCTCCTGTTCTTTGCTCATTTCACTGTGCAAATGTGGAGCCTGGTTGTCTATCTACTTTCACATGTAGCAAAAATACAGTAATTCTGAGGTCATTACCAAACTACACACACCTGGAATCTTCTTGGCCCAGCTGATCATGTGCACCAGCTCCTTATCAGCCAGGTTGGTGAGCGACATCATGACGTTGGCTTCGGTCAGCGGCCTCTTCATGTCCTTCATGAGGTAGATCTCTGGCGGCTCCGCATCCATTATTCGCTCGATCAGCTGCTCTGGGGTCAGTGCAGGAGGGTGTGGCTCATTTAATAAAGCCTCTGCTGGTCCAGTTAACACCTTTGGTCCGTTGGCTCGCCCCTGCGAGGACAGACGGGTCACTCGCCTCGTCTGCGGGTTCCTGTAGTTTCCACGCTCCTTTCGAATACCTTTCGGAACAGAAGGCACGCTGCAAATTACAGTGTGTTTACACTTGTTCTGTCCAGCTTTAATCATGCATATTTGTGTAATGTGGCTGTTCTTTTCCATTCATGCTTGCCATTTTGTGTTTTTGTAATTTTATTTTACTATCGGGCTCTGTGCCTTCATTACCATCCCCAAATGTCTTGTGTTTTAAATAAATGTGGCAGACGTAAGCAGTGAGCAGGCTGGGAGGTTCTGGCACTGTGGAGCTCCTGCTGAGTCAACTGCACTCCCCTGCAGCTAACAGCAATCAGGTTCACTTCAAACAGCTGCTCCACAGATTCATTTTACATGGAATTCATTAACAAGGGCCATTCATGGCTTTTAGAGCGGGATCATATTTCTCTGAATGCGAGGAGGATAAATGCTGGAACCACATAAAAGATGGGACAAAATAAACAAATTATACTGCTACAAATGAGAAACCTGGTGGTGAACTTTCCCTGTGACCACAACCTGACTTGTGTGTGACAAGGGTAAAAAAAAAATAACACAAATACGAAAGCAAAGTCACACTAACCACATTTGGTCATCCCAACTTCATAGCATTTGCGAAGGCGACATGCCTGGCAGCTCTTGCGGCGGTTCTTGTCGATAGTGCACTGGTTGGTTGCTGGGCAAATGTAGTCATTGTGTCCTGAAACAAAGGAGGGAAAATTAAGAGGACAAAGAAAGAAGAAAAGAAACATGAAAAAAACAAGGATCAGTGTGGAGCCAGAACTTCTTAGGTAATACTCCAGGAGCAAGACTATGAAAGGTTACATCGCTGCACTAAGAACCCAACAGACTTGTAGACTGAGACACAAACTCCTGCTGACTGGACTGTCTCAATGGAAAATGAGCACTAGCTAAAGGGCACTAATGGCAAGCTTTCTTCATCGATTTAAACTCCCTCTCTCTTTTACTGTACTGTGAACATGCTACTAACTGTCCACCAAGGCTGTGCAGATACTACATCCAGACACCCACATTCAGCCACAGTAAATGTCAGACAAGAGAAACTCTAAACTTATGGATAAAATCTCATTTTCTGATGACATTTTGTTTTTTTTCTAAATTCATGACTTCGGAGGAGCTCGTAATTATTGATCACTTACTGCAGTGAGGTGTGTCACCGTTGAACTCATGATTGTGTCCCAGGCTGAGATTTGAGCAACACTAAAAATCTACAGCCATGCTCGCAGCTTTGTGAAGCTGCACTTGTAGATAATGTGTTGCTTTCAACTAAAAACAGTTCATCATCTTACATTGCTTGGCATGTAAGTATGCTATCACTTGCTAACAAACACTAAACACAAATTAAAGTTGAAAGGAGCTTTATCAGTTTTGTTGGTATTCGTTTGTAAGACCAAAGTTCTGCACACACAAAAAATGATGATCTAATGATTCCTTTAATGGAAAGTTAAGGGATCAGCAAAGTTACTGTAATTATCTTGACGGAAAACCCCAAAGTCTGTGCCAAATTTTATGGCAATTTGTTCAATAAATGTAACTCCACACACGTCATCGTGCTGTGTGATGAAAAATTAGGAGGATCACAAAGGACAGTGGGAGTAATCCTCTTGGAACTGACAATTTAGTCTTAACTCTGAGAACTCCAAGCAGTTTCTAGGTGTTTTTTTTGGTGCTGTCACATTTTTACTCACTGTGGGACACTTCCTGCACCTCTATGGAAACAGTACAAACATGAGAAGGAGAGAGAACTCAAGCATGTCTTTTCTGCAGCATAATGTTACAATGCCATAAATAATTTAACAAAACAAAACAAAACAGTTTTTGGATAATTTGTTTGACAAAAATTTTAAAAAGTCAACAAAAGTCAAATCAGCAAGTATGACATTTTTCCAAGTGCCCACAAAGTGTTACAAGTAATAGAAAAGAATGGGGCTCCACATGGTTGAGACTTTTAATCCATCCAATAGATGCCGATATATTTTACTAACACTATGCACATTTCAGCGAACACAACATCATCCATGCATCAGTACTGTACATGTTGTGTCTCACCTTGGATGCTCCTCTTGAAGAAAGCCTTACACCCCTCACAGGACCAGACTCCGTAGTGGTAGCCTGAAGCATAGTCATGACACACAGCACAGTAGTGGAGGTCTGCCTTCCCGCCCGATGACACCACGCCCTCCTCGTTCTCCTGGGAACGCTTCCTCACACTCTTACTAACAGATACGGCTCGAGTCATTATTTCTTCCCACAAGAAAAACATGTGAAATAAGCAATCAGGCCTTAGCAGTTACTTAAATGTACTGCATATGATTATAGATCAGCTTGGCTCATGGCAGCATGTGTTAAGCATTGCCAGAGATGTTTACATGACAAAATGAAACCTAATTTTGACCTTTCATGACAAACTTTTGAAATAATTATCCGTAAAATAAATAAAACATCAGGTAAAAATAATCTTTCAGCTGCTGACTAACTTGGGTGATGGTTCTAACTGCATGTGAGAGTCAGGACCGTCCTACCTGGCTGCTAAGACACCGTCCCACGGACTCTGGCTGGGCTGGCTGTGCTGGGGTCGAGCCTGCGAGCGGTGCAGAGGTATGGGCGGCCCCACATGGCCGTGGCTGGGCCAGAATAAAGAGGCGCTTAGTGACTGATGGACAGAGGGACAGTCTGAAATGCTGGGACCAGCATAGCTGAAGATGGTTGGACTGTAGAAAGGTATAGGGGTGAAGTCGTGGCTCAGGTCGGTGTATGGGGACGGGATGCAGATGGGCTGGTTGGTTTCCAGGGACAGATTAGGAGAGGAGGAGCTGAGGATCGGAGAGAGGACACGACTGCCGACTCGACTGGAGTCCACCTCTTGGAGCTGCAGGAGGGGCGGATGCTTCTCTGGAGTGGAGGCAGCGGCCATCACAACAACAGATGCTCTCAATATCACCAGAATTACTGCATCATCAATAAAGGAGGAAAAGAGTCTAAGAAACATGCATATCTTCCCTTGGTGTCGAGTTCACTGTGGTTATTTCCTTATCCACATGTACTGCAGCTCTGCTCGAAGATGAGTGACACAGAAAAACAAAAAAGACAGCAGAGCTACGTTCACAGGCCAGCAGTTACTTATGAGCTCACATGGTGAAGGCTCAAGATTGGTGGATGTGTCAAACTCAGTGTGTTTTACTTGGTTTCAGTTTTGCTCAGTGTGACATGTTAGTGCTGGGACAGATCACATAATCAACATTAGAGCCGACGCTGGTTCTAGAGCAGTCTTGTGGAACAATCCAGAAGATAACCAAAGAGGAGTCTGTTTGATCCAGAATAGAGATGATGGTTCGGTTCTCACAACGACGGTTCTGTTCTCAGTCCAGCCAGAGAGTCACATCACTTCCTGGGAGCAGAGCTGTCCACCTGGATAAGAAACAAAAAGCACAGGCTGAAGTACTAAAATACTGACCACGAACTGATCTGAAAATATATTTAAGGGACAATCATTTGCTCCTATGTGAGCAAATGCAGCAATGAGATACAGTCAAAGAAAGAAGCTACAAGGTGAATCTACAGTTTGGAATATTTTTGCCGATATTAGGTAACTGCGGAGGGACATGCAGAAAGAAAAAAAAAAAAAACAGGGAGGGAAAAAAAATAGAGGTATCTTTTGAGAAAACAAAACTTTCTCGGGATCTTGCAATAACGTTTTCGAGATCTTGCAAAACAAAAGGTATGCAGGTATATACTTCTGGGTCTTTTTGGCAGTATGGAGAAATGACAGTGGAGGACACTCTCTTTACAGGTGGGTGTCCTCCACTGTCGTAGGGCTGCAGGGATCTCGAGGAAGTTACTGCGAGATCCTGAAAATGTTTTGTAAGTTCCTGAGAAAGTTACTAAAAAAAGATACCTTCTTTTTTTCCCTCTCCTTGTTTTTTTCTTTCTCCATGTACCTTCTGGGGTTCCGTAGGTAACATATTAGACAACAATAGAACAAGTACTTCATTCGAGCACAACTGGACTTCCTTCACTTCTCTCTCAAACCATCCGTCCTCTCTGTACAGAATGTGAACATTACTGTCCTTAAAGAAGCCTCCCTGACCCTTTAGATGCAGGCAGACTGCTGAGTCTAGTCCTGAGGAGCTGGCAGGAGAAGAGTGAAGGAAGTAATCATGTTGAACTGGAACTACGATCTCTAAACAGCGGAGAGGGTCCACGACACCACTTATCATTACAATTATAAATCAGTTTTTTTTTAAAAGGGACCATGTACAATGTTAAACATGAATGTTGCCCTCTGATGTATTGCACCAGAGTTCGCTTTAAGCTAATTTCCATCTGCAGTCCCTTGGCAGGTCACAATGAAAACATCACAATATTAAAATGTCACAAAAAAGCTGGACTATAGAATACATGACACAGTGAAACACAACATCACACACAAACTCTTAAGCGTACATACGGACACACACTCACACACAGTGCAAATGAAAAAGACATTAATGGTTGCAGTTCTGAGTGTCCTTAAGCAAGTTTTTCAGCCAATAGAAACAGTTCTCAGGCAGGGCGTTCCACTCAGTCGTAGCTTTTACAGAAAAAGCTGACTGCCCAAAGGTGGTGCGTCGAAAAGGCAGGGAACAGTCACTTGTGGAAGATATCCCATTGAGGAAGCCATCATGTTGAACTGGAACTACAATCTCTAAACACCAGAGAGGGTTCCCCGGACACCACTTATCAGGTACTTGTAATGTAGTCCTAACATATCTTCCCAGAAAGTTTCACCAATACCTTAAACATGTGAGTCTTGGGTTGTTAACAGGCCATGAACCAGATGATTTGGGTCTAAGAATAAATGGGACGTCCTAGCAGTTAGTTAGAACAAAGGAAGCTTCTTGACGAGCAATAAAATATCTTAAAGAACCAAAAAGTCCAGCTGCCCTCTACTGAAGTACTTAGGATGACCTGGGTGACAGAGATGACAAAGACAATTCAGACAACAGCGGCATGATTTAACAAAGTTTAAGAGATTATTCGATCTGGGAAATGAACACTGTCTCTCATGAATTTGGTCGGTTTGCTGTAGATGAATGTCAAAATTGTAACTACTGACCCGGTCATAGCATTGCAAAAGAACCGCTGATTGTGACTCCATAGGATTTTTAAAAAATTCTAATAATAATAACTATTGTTAGATAAGCTTTGACCTATTTTGTCAGACTTTTTAGGTCTATAACTGTCTTTTTGCCTAAATTTAACTTGAAACCTTACAGTAATTGAAGCAAATTCCCTTTGACAAGTCTAAGCTTAGCCTTAATGTGGCCGCCATAGTGGTCAAAAATCTTCAGAAAACTTTTTTTTAGAAGTTAGATTTTTCCTCTTCTTTCACAGAATGGTTATACTTTACATTAATGCTATACAGATTAAAACAGAAAGAAAACAATGCATGTGAATGAGGGCTGCTGAAAGTGAAACTCCAGGCTCCCCGCTGTAACAAAATATTATCACTGGAAGGTGAAATTTCACTTCTACACAAGTGCCACAACTTAAAACGATGAGAGGAAATAGGAATTAGGATTTATGATGTACTGTAGACAGAGACAGCTGGTAGATCAATAAATACAGAGCATATACACACACACACACACAGTCCCAGTGCAGTCTAAGGACAAGTTGGTTTACTGTTACAACATCCAATACAGTAAATCCAGCAGAGTTAATCATTCCTGGGTGGCAGGAGTCTGTCTTCAGTTAAAATTGGTACACGATGTCTCTACCTTTCTGGCATGAACCCTGCTTCTGTAAGTCATTACTTATCCAGCAGAAAAAAGGGCCTATTAATCTTGCCAAATAGCTGAGAGACGCTTTGGTTTGGCTGGCCAATAAAAGTTGATAATCCGTAGGAGTAGTTGGAGTCTTGTGCTGGAAGCGTAAAATGAGCAAAGCAAAACTGGCCGTAATTAAACTCACAAAGCTGCAACTATTACAGTTGGCCATTAATTATTTTGGATAATGCGACAAGTGCCAAGGTGCATTTTTATTTTCACAATCTCAAATTAAACATTCATCGTAAGGGCCGCTGCTCATACTGGCTGACCCAACAATTCTCCCTCCTGTTAATTTCCCTAAGGTACCCTACCAAAGGGATCAATAAAGCTTATCTTATCTTAAAAATGACTAGCTGTGGAAACACGCTGTGCCTTTTAGGCAAACTCAGCAATATTTTACGAATCAGTAACCTTCAAGCATTTTTAAAACAGGTAAAAGTTCTGACAATATATGTTAAATATAACTAGAATCACTGCTTAGTGGTTGTATGACTCGGCCAAGTAGACAAGTTGCAGTCCAGACTTGACCTTTGACCTCATTGATATAAAATGGCATTATTTTATCCTATTAGACACCAAATGGATTCTTGAGTTGTGGCCAAAACCATATTTTGTGAGGTTGTGGTAACCTTTACATGTGACCAACAAATTCCAATCAGTTCATCCTTGAGTCCAAGTGAACAATTGTGCCAAACTTAAGAAGTACTTCCAAGAGGCATAAGAGATATCGCAGTCATGAGAATGTGACGGATGGACAGATACCAAAAATCTGGGTCGTCCGTCGCGCAGAGACATAATAACTAGAAACATTACAACGCACTGCTACATCCACTGTTAATATTTTTGCACATTGACCATATCCTTTGTTTCACTGCAGAGGTGTGGACACATAATGGACCACCAAACACTGAAATACATGGCACATACCGGCAGCATCATGTCCATGGGACATCAAATCAGGCCAACAATTCAAAACCACAAAATATTCAATTTCATCATCATGTTTGATAAAAACAGCATAACAGTTTCACATTTTTAAGTTAGAAGCAGCAAAACTTTGGGATCTTCCCTTTAAAGAATGTCTCATTAAAAATTTTTTTTTTTAAAGTTATACAGGGATGTTACAACAAGTGTATGTTGTTATATATTATCTACATTTATGTTACATTTGCATTAATTTAACACATCTACAGAATTTTAAAGAAATCTGTTCCAGTGCATCAGAAAAATATGGCACATTTGCTCTACGTATTTACACACATTAAAGAATTTTTTTACAATTTGGCCGCGATAGATGATCGCTAAAGGCTGAGTTTTTCTTCATTCTGAAGCTGCTCTAATCAATATTGTTATATTACCGGATCAAATAATGTAAAAAGGCACCACTGATTGTAGAAGGAGCTATCTTCAGACTCTGCAGTTCCCCTAAACTCTACGCATCTTCAACTGTCTGATTAGATTTTTACTTTGCATAATTACATTTCTGATTCATCATCTCTCTCATCTGTGTCGTCTCCAGCTGCAGGAGGCTGCAAACTAATAAACTGAACTAGCTGGTGATATTGTGGAGTAGGTGGAGACCAAAACAGAGCTAAAATTGTTCTGAAACTGGATTCAGAGTCGTAATTCAATTCAATTTTATTCATATGGCACCAGTTCACAACATGTCATGTCATAGCACTTACTTGTGAATTTTAAAGAGAACAGAGAACCCAGTAAGCCAATGCTGTCAGAGATATGACTCAAACTGAATCATAATCTGTCTCCCCATCTACTGGATGTGTACATAAGTAACTGTTAATAAAATGTGTTCCATTTCAACCCAAAGGTTTAATACACTGAAATATGTAGTACTTAGAGCTCATTTCTACTGTTCTGAAGTGTCCTGACAGATTAAATGTGAGGAGATTAAAGTTTGAGCTATTTTCTGTTGAAAGATGATTTATGCTGCTTGACAGCTCATCTGTTACTAAAGGTATTGGCCTGAATCACAAAATGTCAATTACAATGCAGCTCTACATTCAATAAAGCGCACGCTCTAATGTAATCACAGCTAATCTGAGGATATTGTATCAATCTACAGATGATGTGTTGCTGACAGAAACACTGTAACACTGTGTTCTACAATGAGTTTAGTTTCACCGAGTTTCCGGTGACCTTGTGTTTGAAGTCCACGATCTTCCCCCTAAAACAGATGAGTCACTTTAAGAGAGTAGAAAAGAGGTTTTTGATTCTTTAATTACCATTTGGGGCAAAAAGCAGATGTGGCAGAGTTTGCGTTCCCTTTGAAGCCTTGACCTTGCCTTTAAACTTCCTCACTGTCACACTCTGCTGGAGTTGGCAGCTCATTGTGGGAGAAAACCTCCCAGATCCTCCACGACGCTGCGCATCCTGCCTCCGCCGCTATCAGCCAACACAGCGGAGCTCTGACGTGTAAGCTGCAGCTGCGTGTTCAATACTGGGTTCCAGAGCACTACGGCAGCTGGGAAATGTTACTTATGTTACAAGGTTTTAAGCAAAAAAGAAAAACTCGCACAATTCTCATTCTTCAGAAGTCTGTCTCTTAAAACATGACTTACTCTGATTTGAGTTGTTTTTGTAACTTTATTGAAAAGAATCTGAGCTGTTGACATGAAGACAGACTATGATAGAAAACAGCTCAACTAGATTAAATCACTTTGCTTCTTCGTGGGTACATCTGACACGAGAATGCCTTATTTCACTCTTTCCATGCAGTTGCACAGCCAGAACTATTTCCACAGCGCTGTGTGTGCTGGAGGTAACTGAGCAGGGAGACTAGAGGCTTCATGTGCACTAGTTTCTGCCATAGCCTGCATGTGAGGCGGTATGGGTGCAATTTTATTTACATTTTGTCCGTAGGTGATGCACCGAATTCAGGTGAAGAAGAACTTACTGCAAGTCCTATTTTGCCAGATATCAATATCAAAGAAAAAAAATGAATTCTTGGTAACTACTTTGTCAGTGGTACACCCTATAATAAAGGTTTCAAATGGTTTGCAAAGAAATAAATACATAAATCACAGTAAAAAGCAAAGTTTTTTTATGCAAATGCACTTGCCTACATAGTCACGCCAATCATTCTTGAATGATGAATTCTGTCCAAACAGAGTTGCTCATGTGATCTGCTGAAAATGTCTGTATTCTGTATCTTATTTCTGATATGTGTCAGTGGTATCTCAGTGCCACTTTTTTCCAATATCATGCAGCCCTGATTTAAAGGTCTCTCCAGAGATCTCACATCTCTGGTCAGACACTGAGGTTGCAGTAACTCCTCCGCTGCCAAGCTCAGCTAGTTGGTTTTAGAAGATACTCTGTTATCGATAACTCAATTACTACTCAAGCCTTAGCTGAGGCTGTCTCACCAAAAATGACTCTGTTGGACAGATTAGGCAGCAAGGAACCTAAGAGAGTTTGCGTTTGTCAGTGTAGCTAATGAACTTCCACATCCTCGAGCAAACACACGCATGAAGCATACATGTCTCCCCAAAATCACACACACAAAAAAAATCAAAGCCAAATAAAGTAAATTCTGTAGCAGAAGGAACTGTTCCAGGCCATTAGCCAGAATACACAAAAGCTCAAGGCTGTGTCATTTTCCCATTCCCAAATCTCAGTGCCTCCTTTAAATCAGGCAGAAACTGATATGAAACAGCTCTGCAGAAAGAAGTCCTACCTCACTACAGAGCTGAATTGTGCCAGAGAATGTGGAAAAGTCTCATTGAATTGCAGCATCTTCTGCTTCTGACTTAATCTCACAGTCAAAGTAATCTCAGCAACAACTGAAACACATCTTTTGGCACTATAAACTCAATTTCACACTGATTTATCAGTTTATCATTCATCCTCGTACATTTAAAAAAAACTGCAACGTAGTTACATTCGTTTCAACTGCAGGTTTTTGCACAAAATGACAGATTGGAGCTGATTTTGGAGAATGCAGTTAGTGGTGGTTTGTGCTGGATTTCACAAGCATGTTTGTTACTGTTTTACACACAAATTAGGGAAAACCTCTCAATGTAATCTACCCTCATACAAACCACCTGTAACTTACCTCTCTAACATTGTCGTGCTGTCAGCAAAAGCCTTCAGAGTGAAACATAATTATAAGTAAAGGCCACCATCAGGAAGTTAGCTGAACACATGGGTAATTAAAACAAAGGTCAAGTAACAGTGGAGATTGTGTTGTTAGAACTGCAGCTAACAAATGTTTCAACTGGTGATTATTCTGTCAAAAATGTCCTTGATTATTCAACTAATTGTTAAACTTTGCTATAAAATGTCTGAAAATAATTTAAAGAAAAAGTCAATCATTGTCTCCCAAAGCCAAACATGACATCCATTTTGTCCACAACCTAAAAAAATTCAGTTTACTGTCACAGAGGAGGGAAAAAATAAAATTATTCAGTTTTTAGAAGCTGGAAGAAAAGAATTTAGACTTTCTTTTCCTTATAAAATTAGTTTTTTAAAAAATCAATTATTTAAAGAATTACTGATTATTTTAATAATTGACAAATGGATTAATTACCAAGTAGTTATTATGAGCAGCAGCTCCTGTGAGAACTGGAGTTATATGATGAGGACATGCAGTGTAAAAACACTTGCAACGGAAATATTATACAACAAGTAAAACTGACTGATAAAAAAAAGAAAAAATATCCTGAATTGATTGATTCTGGTCTGTCACAAGCAAAACTTATTTCCCTGCGATTGTTGTGTTTTTCTTTCTCGTAGATGTTTTGGGCTGTTTCACATCTATCAGGTGTCAAGACTGCTGGGATTCATCTTAAGTATGTCATATTTATTTCTAATGTCTGCCTCAGTCTTAATGACACAGATGAAATCTTTAATTCTGCACACATAATAGAGGACAAGGGAGACCATCACTAAATCTCATCAAACTGCTGCAAATAAGTAAAGCTGACAAGGTAGGAGCAAATCACAGCACAGAAATGTTTGGTCACACTACTACATTAATTTCGTGATGAGGTGCTTGAATGTCCTCAGATCTCTCTATTTTTATCCAGAACCCAAAGATATTCAGTTTACTATCACAGAAGAGGAAAGAGACCAGAGAGTATGTACGTTTAAGAAGCTAAAATCAGAGTTTTTTTTTTTCTTCACCGATTAACAAAATAACTGTTTGTTATTTTAATAAGTGACAACTGATCAATTAATCCACTCATTGCTGCAGCTCTACTAATATTCACCCCCACATCTGTTGTGACTGTGGTCATAATGAGCAGCAGCTGCCACAGCTGGAGCTCTCGCACACCGTTTGACTGACAAGTGACGAGAGGAAACACTATAAAAACACTCAGCATCGGCACTAGTATACAACAACCAAAGTAAAACAAATCGATAAAACAAGCAATCAAAAAAACTAAATGAACTGCTCATATGGTCCTTTCAGTAGTCCTGTCACTATTCCTCTGTGATTCTTGTGTTCTCGTTCCACGGGGAAGGGAAGGCAGAAAGTAGGGTACCTGGAATTAAGTTAAGCTTTGGCACCTTATGTTTGCCTCAATCTTATGTGCTAAATCTTTCATTCAGCACATTAAATTGTGAGAGGACAAGTCAGATCGTCTGCCGGCCCACACAGTTTGTGCAGCTCAAAAAGTCGACAATTCTCAGTCAATGCACAGAGAATTTTTGACAGCACTATTTTACACACTCA